AATACTTGATTGATTTTAATTGTTTCATTTTACTGAAACCAAGGTATTTTTATCTTTTTTCTTTTTCTATTTTGCATATGAAAGTGCAAAATCACTTTCCAATAAATATCTAATATAATTGAAACTTACAAACACAAATTTTTAAATTTTCTTATTTGCTAAGCAATTAAAAAAAAAACATAGCAACAATGAAAATTAAAAAAAATTTGTAATATGAGTTTTTAAAAAAACAGGACAAAAAGTGCTCACTATCTTTTATACGTAAGAAGGAATATTCTAGATCGATTTATTATTACTCCATTTTAGTAAAAAATAAAAAGAATTTTCTTTAATAAAGAAACTTTTAAGAGTTTAGAGTTCTTAAATACAAATTTTTAATAAACTGGAACAAATTTGCCACGAGAGGTAAGATAAAAAATTGTTCAAATAAAATTTCAACGTAGAATACAAACTCGAATTGTTTCATTCACAGGTTATTTATCAACATGTTTGCCACAAGGATAATGTTCCTCCATTTTATACTTACACGATATCATGCCAATTATAAGATGAATGACAAGTCGAATGTAATTAAAAAAATTATAAGTTTCGTGATTTTATATTATATCCTGTTCTCAACATTGGATCCCAGCGTAATTCCGATTACGTAAATAGTACGGGGAAAAACATATGTGCGAATTTCAAAGAAACAAGTTCAAGTCCGATTTTACAGCAGACGTACTAAATTATGTTATAAATTTGTACTACTGTCCCCGAGCCAACTCGGCTTTTTCGGTAGACAAAATTTAGACCAGACAGAGTTTACGGCGGACAAACCGAATTTTCGCAATTTTTCGCGACATCGGCAACGACGACATCGATGACGACGAATCGAATATTCGCCAAGAACGAAAGCCAGGAAAGATCAAAGCTTCGTTCGCACTTGTAATGACGTAATTATTTCAACTTTGATTTCGTCCAGACGATTCTAGATAGAGCTCGTTTATTTTATTAAATGCAAATTATAATTCATAGAGACAGAGCTTAGGAGCTGATCTGCATTAATGAAGTGGATTGAGAGAAGCTGTACTCGAAATATTCAGCGAAATATTAAATTTAGATTGAATTTAAATAAATTTTTCTTTTTTATTATTTTATATAAAAAGGAAAAACGAGGAAATAATATTGGATAAATCATTAAAATATCCGATATTCAATTATATTTAAAGAATTTAAAGTTAGTAATTAGATAATCTTTTTTTTATCATTTGGTATAAAAGAAAAGAACGAAGAAAGAATATTGGATAAATCATTAAAATATTCAATATTCAATTATATTTATAGAATTTCAACTTAGTAATTAAATAGTTCTTTCTTTTTTTATTATTAAGTATAAAAGAAAAGAACGAAGAAAGAATATTTAAAGAATTTAAAGTTGGTAATTAGATAATCCTTCTTTTTATTATGTAGTATAAAAGAAAAGGACGAAAAACGAATATTGGATAAATCATAAAAATATTCAATATTCAATTATATTTCAAGAATTTAAACTTAGTAATTAAATAATATTTCCTTGTTTTATTATTTAGTATAAAAGAAAAGAACGAAGAAAGAATATTTAAAGAATTTAAAGTTGGTAATTAGATAATCCTTCTTTTTATTATTTAGTATAAAAGAAAAGGACGAAAAATGAATATTGGATAAATCATAAAAATATTCAATATTTAATTATATTTAAAGAATTTAAAGTTAGTAATTAAATAATATTTTCTTATTTTATTATTTAGTATAAAATAAAAGAACGAAGGAAGAATATTGAATAAATCATTCAAATATTCTATATTTAATTATATTTAAAGAATTTAAAATTGGTAATTAGATAATCCTTCTTTTTATTATTTAATATAAAAGGAAAGAACGAAGAAAGAATATTGAATAAATCTTTAAAATATTCCATATTCAATTATATTTGAAGAATTTAAAATTGGTAATTAGATAATCCTTCTTTTTATTATTTAGTATAAAAGAAAAGTACGAAAATCGAACATCGGATAAATCATTAATACCCGATTATATTTATAGTATAGTATATAGTATATAGTATATAGTATATAGGTTAAAAAATTATTAAACAATTACATTTAAAATATACGTGAAGATAACGTGCATTCCGGCATAGATTAAATATTATAAGATACGTTACATTACATGAAATGGATTAATAACTATAGATTATAAACTGTTACAAATGGTAACATACAGACAGATGGGTAAGAAACAGCGATTACGAAGGGACAATGAGAATTTATTTGCCTAAAATTATTACAGTATGTACGACGATTCGCATCGAGACTCGCAAATGATGACACAGTGAGAAGTAAAATTAAATCGATCGAAGTTCTTCTCTAAAAAAAATGATGATTTATATCTATATTAACATAGCATAGTTTGAGAAAAACGTTTTATATGCATCATCTCGCATCTCTTGCACATTAATGAACGTCTGGCATTAAAAATATTACATCTAATTCTGTGTCACTGCGCATATTTTAACGTAGACATATTTCTTCTAATCAACAGATATTACAATATCGTAATTTTAAAAAATTACATCTATATACATATATACCCAGAAGTTATTCCAGAATTTAATCTATGACTAAATATAATTAAGTTCCACGTGATAAGTAGGTGATGCATATATATATATATATGCATTAATTACATATATATTTAATATACAATTATTATTATATTGTATATATATCTATATAATCACTATAAAAGCCTAATAATGTAACTATATATCGCTATACTACTATTATTACAACACTATACTAGTATAATAATTATATAGTAACAATCATACATGCTATACTACCAGTATAATATATACTACTACAGTGTAATATGTTACTATAGTAAAAGAATAGTAATACAATAATTACCGTATAGCATAACTTCTATATATTAAGTATAGTATAATATGATAAAGGTTTTATTTACTAAATATTATATATACATGCTTTAATCATAGAGCAAATTTCCAAGTAAAAATTTTTAGCAAATAAAGCTTCTGTCGTAACTCGTCACTCCGATAATTAAGTTGTACGTGTTTAGGGCACGGTACAAGTATAGACGGTTTAAATTTACGCGCGCGTAGCTGAAAATATTGAAGACGCTGGGTAGGTGTCGGCCCTCTTGAAAGTACTTCTTGCGCATTCAAATATAAACTGAGAAGCCAGGTCACGGCTTGAAAATAATCCCGAGCATTTAGGAAGGCAACCCATTGCTTTTAGACCGACACAGGCCCGTGACGCATATAAATCCCCCTTGCCTCCCTTTCCGACTATGCTCCGATTTCGATGCCACCCTTCGGATTATTCCACTAGATCCGAGCGATCTGGCGCCATTTTAGTAACCTATATATTGTGTCCACAGATATTCGATCAAGTCACTTGATTCACCGTCACCCTACAACGGTAGTGACAGTAGCAATATTAACAATATATCGGTCGCTAATAATAGCCTAATTCTTAGTAATAGCTATTATTATTATTTTTTCATTGTAAAATTAAAAATAACCACGAAGAAAGTAAATACGCAGTTTCTCATAGAACCTGCTTCCAAGAGGTGCAAAAGGGCAATGTCAAGGGAAAAATGAATTTTTCTAATCGTAATTCGATGCAAAGTGTTTACATCGAGTATACTTTCTTCTTTTTATCGTTCGTGTGACTCAGTATTGTATTTTCGTTGGTTTCTATGTACTGCTTTTTGTGAGTCAAGCTAGAGTATGCACGTTAGGCTGATTTTTCTATGAGAATCTATTTCGATATATCACCTGTATGATTGACCTATGAATATGTAATACCTAGATATGAAATGAGGTTAGGTAACACGGTCCTTGAAACTTAAATATAAAGCTCAGGTTGTTTAGTAACTATGATATTACATGAAAAATAAACAAAAGGAGTAAGTTAAACTGCTATCACGTCAGGTTGCATTTTTCAATAAATTTTTGAAAATTTTCTACCTTATGGATATTTTTTCTTTTCAATTAGGTTAGGTAACACGGTCCTTGAAACTTAAATATAAAGCTCAGGTTGTTTAGTAACTATGATATTACATGAAAAGTAAACAAAAGGAGTAGGTTAAACTGTTATCACGTCAGATTCCATTTTTCAATAAATTTTTGAAAATTTTCTACCTTATCGATGTTTTTTCTTTTCAATAATCCAGGCTACATAATTATTAATATACATTAGATATTGTTCAAATATAGGGTGTCGTAATGTTATGAATCAACTAAGTAGAGAATAATAAATAAAAATCGAAAAAACATTTTATCCAATAAAAATATTTTTTAAATTACACTTAAGATGGACTCTTACTAGTATCTAGGCGATTAACTTATCGGCGATTAATTCTCTATCATAAATATTAGAACACACTCGAAAGAATAAGACAAACCTGCAAAATCATTAGGTGATTACTAGAATCATTAAAAATGATTATCTCAATTAAAATTTTAATCTCTAAAGTCTCTTTAGTCCCATATTTTTACCAGTATCATAAAAGCTTCTTCAATAGTGATAAACAGTATAACATAATAAAATTGTACTTGTATAATAGCAATAATAAAATTATATTCGAAAACACGAATTTATCCTTCGTTCATAAAATTGCTTTAAGTACTTAGTCCACTCATTCTGCCTTCACATCTCTAATAGTCTAAGGTCAAGCGTCTTCTTCATCCCCATGTGTTTCGCTCGAACAGTCTTCAGCAGCAACACACGAACACTCATAAAATCATTTTCATAAACGTGTTCACGATGGAAGACTGTCACGTTCCTCGGAGCAAAGTGAAAATAGGAGTACGATCGACATCTAGCTTTCTTTGAACTTCGTGAACTCTGCATAGTAACACGAATTGTGATATCACGACAGCTACCATGGTTGCACATGCGTCTCTATCTGCACGTAGCAACTTGTATTAATTTCGACCGTTTTTATTGTTTCAGAGTCCTTGCAATTGTTGTCGCATCATGGTGAGTGACCTTATATTAACGGGTTATTAAGAAAGATGTGTATTGCCAAACGACTCTCGATGCATATTCCGATGTTATTTCAGACATAGGGATTAGGCTCCAGATACGTGACGTGATGTACGTATGTCTTTTTACTGTCGTTTCGTCGCTTTTTCTCCTTTTGTTGAACAGAATTCCGAGTATTAAGTTTCCAACAAATTTGGTAATCATATTTTTGGTATCTTCTTAAAATTCCAATCCATCGTTGTGAGACACAACTGTCTTGAGGACTGCAGAGATTAGAAGATGGTGAGACGTGGAATTTGGATTATATTTTGTTTGGAATTTATTTACAAAAACCGAAACACGACGGAATAGTAGAATAAAGCAATAAAACAATATGGAATTTCCGTAAAAATTGTTTAATAACGTAATGAAGTAACAAGTATATTAAAACACAGCTATTTTAGAGGAATAGTGCCTATTATAAAATGATAATAATAACAATTATATACATAATTCTTGTTTCTGGAATATAATTTATACACATACTATTATTATTATTATTATTGTTAAATTATTTCAACTTAAATGTTATTACGATAATTAAATTGCTCAAATGTAATTTAATTGTTACTATTAGCTAAATTACTTGAATGTAATTGAAATTTTACTTTGCAACTTGATATTTTGCAGCCATATCGTTTTCAATGATCGCAACAGCACAACAACGAATCAAGTAGCCGATTAATCTTAAAATAAAATCAGAAAGGTCCTTATCCCATTCTTCGTTTATAATTTAAGATAATTCTGTCACGTATGAATATTTGAACTTGTTTACGCCATATTTCAGCTCCTCGAATAAATGCTCGCGGTCAGATTTAGATCCAGGGATTGGGCTGGCCGATTCAAAACTCTTGCATTTTTAAGGAATTCGCGTGCAACCACTTTAGAAAATATATTTCTGCTATCGAGGTAAACTTTTATCGGAGATATTTCTGCACCTCGAATTTTCACTGATCGACGGACTATTTTAAGTAGAAAAGATCTGCCGAATTAGGAGCATTTGTATTTGACAGCTGAGGACCAGTTTCGACAGTTAAGGCAGCAGACTTATTTAAAAATATGCTAATGAAGTAAAGATCTTTCGGACTTTATTCTAACATTAATCGATTCGTAATACGTGTCTTGTTGCTATGTTGCTGTTATCATTGCATGGCTGAAAAATATTAATAATAAATCACGAAATTAAACGAAATCAAATCTGTTATATTATATTATAGAATGAGTATACAGTAGCTCACAAAAGTAATCTGGCAGTGGAATAAAATCTATTAATTTAATTTTCTGTAATATCTTAATAGTATTTATAATTTAATATTTAATTGAATATTATTTAATCGTGTTAATGGTATTTTATGAAGTGCAATTAGGCATAAATAAAATAGATTTGTCAATATTCATAGTAGAGTTCTCTCCTGTGAGAACCGAATAATTTTTCTTTTTTTATTATATAACTTTTTGTATTATAGTAAAATAAAATATGTATATTGTAATTGAGTAGATTATTTTGTAAATTTAAGTCTAATATTTTTAGATGTGACTTTTTGCGTTAATTACAATTTTTTTATTATTTTGACGCTAATTACACTAAATTTATATCACGAATCGTATATTCACCATAGAACATATATTTCTTACCTATCTAAAAAAGAATTATTTTATTTACTCGCAACAATTCTATTTTGAAGATTAAAATCTTTACTTTAATTATATGACATTACTTATGAGATTCCGTGAAAAAAATCGCTTCTAAAATACCAATAAAATTAAATTTAATATCTTTCTCCTATAAAAACAATTTTATTGATATAAGTATACACTTTAAATTTATTAAATTTATATATGGTCTATATGTCAAGTTTATTAAATTTTAATTTAAATTTATAAAAACCTCTCTCATAAATAGATATAAAATATTAAATAATACCTATTTTCACTTTCCATTTGCAGTACTTTTGTGTCCAACATTAATCGGTATTTATAAAATGTGAAATAAAAAATCTAGCCGTCCAAAAACTTTTGCACGCAACTGTAGCAGCACGTGATGGCCTTAGTAGCAGATATTATCATTTTCGGTAAGTCGTGTCACAAATCAGCCCTGCAATCATTCCACCGAGCTTTCAATTTAGCCTACGACAGAATTCCTCCGACTAATAGCTTTATGCCATTACGCGAAATTATCAGACCTTTATTTTTCTCGGACTAGGTATAGTCGATGAAAGAAGTCCGTAGTAGAAGTCACGAGTCAGCGCAGTAAACAAACCGAAACACGTGATAGGTACGGCTGCATCTATTGGCTGGCAAGCGCTGGTCGACTGTCGGCGCTCAGGGACGGCTCGCGTCGTTGCGTAAAGCGAACCGGCGCTAACTGTTGCCAGGAAAAAGTTTTCGCAAGTATTTAGTAGCCACATTCATCGCGATATCTATATCCGTATTGGCGATAAATAATTCCACAGGATGGTAAACAAATTAATTTTCAGAGAATTCGATTTCTGCATCTCGATGTCCCGCGACTACCATGACTGCCCTGGTCGTTTGAGTGGACATCACGCGCATGCGTTTAAGGTTACTGCCGACCAGTAACCGCGTGCACGTGACAGCCATTTACGTAAATGATACCTTCGTGTTTGTATCTATTGATACAATAAGACCCAGGTCAGTCCAGGGCATGTCACCGTGGGAGGTAAAGTGGGAGTAGGCATAACTGGAAGTGAATATAAAAATTAATAAATACGCTTAGTGAGGTTTTTCTCCAACCCACGTAACTTAGGTTGAAATTCCCTATGTATTTCATATATCAGCCTGTCAAATCTTTTATTCCGAGGACTATAACGCAGGTACCTTGACACTCTTACTGATTTTATGTCCTTATTAGATTTCTCTCATGGACCGTAGAGTAAACTGGTCCTACAATGTGAAGTGGGATTATTCTGTATGAAGAATATAAGCTGATGTTGTATCGTAATTTTACTGAGGTCGTAAAGGAGAAAGTACGAGGTGACAAAAAATAAGTAAACCATCGGTGAGATAGAAGGCTCACTGCTGGGTTAACCGTGGTTGGGTTTAGGCAGTGGAGGGGATGGATAGGCGGTTATGCAAATAACGTAGAGGTAAATAGTGGAAGTGGAGAGAGGAAGGGGCAGTTTCATTAATATAAAGGGTGTATTGCGAATTGTGTCGAGAAGAGAGCGGTCGTGAGTAAAAATAAAATTCCTATAGTCATGTGTATATTAATTCGTTAGGAGAAATGTACGTTTTTTTTTCATTATTATTTATTATTAGCAATATTTTTATGAAATTAAATTATTATTTATGTAAGATACCGCGAATTTCTTTTTTCTTTCTTGATTGTAAGTGGTTATTTCTTCTTTCCTCGTCTGTAGGCTTGTTACTTAAATATAGTAAACCATTTTTTGTTAGTGGAAAAATTGTTAGAAACGAGATTTTTCCCTCTGTCAATATAATTATGACCTTTTTGCTACACTTCTGTGTATGCTTTTCATAATATGCTGTTTTCAATTGTTAACACTAGAATTATGAAACCAGTTAAACTGGCTGACTTCAGACTTTACTCTCGCAATTACTGAAAACATGCAATTGCTTTTAGCAAAATAACTACTTTTTACTGAGGTAGAAACATAATATTAATTTTATATATATAAAATATTATATTTATAAATATAATATATAATATATACAAAATTAATATTATATATTATATATTGTAATATATAAAAATATT